TACGGCTGGCCTGTGTGCTTTTATTCTTGCAAGAAGCTAGAATACAACAGCTCACACTCGAGGGCTGAGTAGCTGGTTAGCCCTGTTTGTGCAGAATCCTTCTGATATAATGAGTTTAGTGGGGGGAGTTAAAAGGTAATGAGAAAGCAGATGCTCTTTCAAAGAGAGGAGGCAGTGTTTGGGAGGGAATCAGGCAGTACTGGAGAGGTGTGTAGTAGGCCTTTATAAATTTGAGATTGGACTCAGGACTTTGGGCAAGCCCAGACTTGTTTTTCCATGGTCTCTTCTCCTATGCTATATTAAAAAAAAAAAAAAATCCCTCTGGCTTGGAAGAAGGCAATCAGTGCCTTTGTCATTACTTCAAAAAGCTCCTTCAGTTTAGTGTCAGCATTGCCAATTTTCAATGCAGCACAGCTGCAGCTTATGGCTGTCAAGCAAGCTGAAAAGCAACTGATATTTTGGGGATCCTGATGTGAATAAGAGAGACTAGCATGTCAGAATCTTCACATGTAGCACTGCTTGGATACTGTGATATTCAGTTGATTACTCATATTCTGAAATCAATATTTTTGCACACTGATCATATGAAAAGGAGGTGGTTTGATCTAAAATGCTGTATACGTGGTGTCGGAGCAGAGGGTTAGATCAGAAGTAAGGTATGCAAGTGTCCTGTGAAACACAGTGCACTCTGCTCTCACAGAAATTGTATCTGAATCAATACAATGATCTTGAATTTAGTTATGCAAATATTTTTAGGTAAACCAGGAAGGGGGCTTGCCAGTAAACCAGATGCATTGGCAGGGGAGGAAAAAAAAAAGTCTTTCTTGCTTTACTCCTCCCATGCTGACAGCTGAATGAATGAAAGCCGTGCCGGTGTGAGCTCTGGTCTGGGGGTACCTGAAGGGGCAGGTGTCAGTGAGAAAGATGGGTGTGATTGTGGCTTTTTCTCAGTGAGGTTTCACAGTGTTAGTCTTTAAGAAGCAAAGTGTACATGATGGAGAGCTCCTTCTTTGTGTCCTTGTGCTCAGACAGATTTTCAAATATGTTCAGGGAACAGTCAGATCCAAGTTCCCCCAAACAGTTTTGTTGGCTTCTCAGTATGTTAGCTTCGATAGTTAAACTCCAAGGCTTTTCCTCTGCCCTGTTGTCTCCTTTTGTTCCTTCACAATGAGGAGGGGAAAAGGAGTGTCTAAGGAATTTCTCAAGTGATACAACTGCCAGTTATAATTTTCCAGGACTGCTTGATTTCAGAAAACAAAATGCACTGAAAGCAGCTTGATTACAAATACATAGGTGACTGCATGTAGTCCTTGTTACTGGCTAACAAATCTCTGACCACAGTGTGCATGTTAGGGATACCAGGATCGTGGGGCCTCAGCTTACATGACTTATTTAGCAATTTGCATTTGCACAGTTTTAATCAAATATGAATGTACTCAAACAGAACCCCTGTTTGTGTCTATATCTGCCCTGACAAATGGTTAGGAATTGCTCACTGCCTGAATTTACCAGTCATCACAACCTTTGCTCAGAAGTTGGTAGTGCTGCCCAGCCATTTTCCAAGGAGAGGGACAGGCAGGCACTGCATGGGACTCCAGGGGCCATATGTGTTTGCAGCCTGTTGTAGCTATCGAGCACATTTATTAAGGTAACATATTCTCTGAAATGGAATTAATACCTGTAAGTAAAATTGGTCCTGGTGTGCTGCCCAAGGAATAATAAGACTGTAAAAATGTTTACAGTAGTTAATTAAGCTTTTTGCACCTGCTGTTTGCATTTTTAATCCCTGTTTAAGTATAGCATGCACAACTGTTCACTATTAGTAAATGTAGTGAGAATGTAAAATACCACATACATGGGAGGTACAAGGGATTTGAATCCGAAAATGCTTGCTGTTTGCACAGACGCTTTTTGGAGTTAGTGCCATAAGAGCAGGTTCAAGGTTCTGAAATATCTGTGTTTCCCCTGCTACCCCTAGGAGTACCCCAAACTGAATTTGGTGTCACAAGCATGCAAGTTCAGTAGCTACAGTTGCTCAGTACTTCTGTGGGATTGGGTCCCTGTTAAGACAAAGAATAGATCTTGCTCTATTTAGGGAATAGTAAATTTTTGCATGCATTTAGTCATAAAAATGGGTAGCAAACCAGAATATGAAGTCTCTCTTCAGTTCATGAAGCAGAATAAGGGATTTTTATTTAATTCTTTTGCTACTGGAATGACCTCATCCTCCTGTTTAAAAAATAAGCATCATAATGCAAGGAGATTCAGCATATCCTTAACTGTCAGCTCATTTCTGACCTCCAAAAATAAAGGAAGAAATGAGAGGAAGACATGCAGTATAGTCACAAAAGACAGTGTAAAGCATATCGTGTCTTGGGGAAAAAAGGATGAGAACTGCATTTATTGAAACCCTGTTGAAGTTATCTTCAATATAAAATTTCCTATTATATTTCAGAAGTAAACCATGGTCACTGAAGAAGTCAATGACAATACTGGCATCCAGGTCACTCGGATGAGATTTCTCTTTTGTGCAGGTTTATTTGAATTTAATCCAACATATGCTGAAACAAGTTTTTACTAGAAGTCAAAAATACACAATAAATAACAATCTACTGGGGAAACAACCCAGATTTTAACCATCAAAAGCAGATGTCGTTTCAGGAGTTTAGAGAAAGGGGAGTTAGAGCTGTCAGTGCTGTTAGCATTGCTTTTAATCTTGTAGCCTTCATGCTATAGAGAGAGACTCAGGAAGGGGCTTTGATATCTGGCCTTACTTTTCTTGATCACCAAGGTTAGGAATTAGTCTGAAATGGTCTGCTGAAGTATCATAACATTCATGGTGTCTATTCAGCTCACTGCCAGCTTTCCAACATCCTCCTGTGCAGACAGTGTGCTGCTTATGGTGAACATAGAGAATGGCTGAATGCACATTCCAGCCCAGCAGAGTTCTAGCCAGGTCCACTGTCAGAGCTGTGTGAAATGGCATGCAGGCACATTGGGCTGCACTAAGACCTCCTTCACTGCTTTTACCCTGCAGGGATTAGTAGGAGATGCTTATACCCATGCTTGAAAATGCTTACAGGTCACTTCAGTGACCCTCAACATCAGCCTTATTTTCATGTTCAGGCATAGTTGATAGAAAAGCTTGTTCTTGGAAGGCAGGAGAGGTAATAGGAGAAGACCCTTTGCATCCTCTGAGTCTTCATGATTTTAACAGTTGTGTTACCATTGTACAGAAATAACTTTGATATGCAGGCATGAGAGAAAAAGGGGAAATTATCAGTGTGATTTTTGAGGTATTTAGTGCCTGAAACTAGCTGCTTGTTGCCATTGTCACCTCAAAATTTTGCCCCAATCAAAACATTCAAGGGCAGAAATATATTTCTCTACTCTTTTCATCCCTTGCATTTTCAGAGTCAGAGCCCAGAGCTGAAGGCCCAGAATGGACTTCTAGAATCCTTAAGATCATTTAAATTTATTTATTTTTAATCAGTGCCAACCTAGATCAGAATTTTACTTCTCCAATTATGTAATAAATGTTAGAAATATAACATTGTACTAAGAAATAGGGGAAAGATTTTTGTCACTGATTCCACAGGAGCACTGCCCCTAAAATCTGTGTGCAGACACGATTCTTATTACCTATTCAATAAGATCCTTTCTAACTGTAGTGTTGGCATGTTCTGAGACCGATTCCGAAAAGCCACGCATCCTTCTTCAGGGAAGGAAGGAATGCTGTAGCAGTGAATAAGCAAACGTGCCTTAGAGAGCTGAATTCAGCTGCCAGCTCTGCCAGCAAATCACTCAGAGACTCCTGCACCAACTCCCTGCCTGGGGGATGAGGGCTTCTCAAGGGGCTGTGTGCAGGTAATGCCACTCAAACTTGTAATGCTTCTGGACCTTACAACAATCAGTATTTAAAATAAAATGGAACAGGGTTTTTTTTTTTTTAACTTCTCTTTTACTAGTTTAATAAGTTTAATCCAGGCCTATCCAGCACAGACTTTAGAGAGAGACAGTCTGTCGCTTGAAATTCTACCTTGCCTTTAGTCTCCTGTAGTATTTACCAATGTGTCTCTTCACTAGAGCTCTTGCAGCTCCCAGGAGTTCTGTTGATGAATGGAAAACCTTCAGGGCCTTTCTGTAGGCTTCTCTGCCTGCCTGCCACAGACCCAGGAATGACCCAGGGGTGTATGTGTTTCTGCTCAAAGGTATTTAGCTGAGGATGCTGTAAACTTCAATGTCTGTCATACCTCTGGAATACAGATTCTTGGTGACATCAAGGGTCTGTTCTGAAGGTCCCAGCTCAGCTGGGCGTTCCTGTCCATTCTTGGAGCTTCAAGCTAACAAGATGTTGGACAACAGATGACCAGGGCTTATGGGCTCATATCACATTAATAAGACATACAAGAACATATGTCACAATATTTCTTTCTGAATTTTGAGCCTGAAGAATGCTTTTAAGATTTTTGTTTAAAAAAAATGGAACAATGCTTTTCACCTGAACTTTAGAACATCCTCCAGATATTAGGAACTTTTTCTAGTAGTCAGAATAAGATTTTTTTTCTGGTAATCTGCTCTGTTGTAGTCTTATCTAAACTGTAAAAGAGGACCTGTTGTCCTCTAATGGAAGCCTTCTCAGTTCAATTCAAACTGATATTCAGGATGGCAGTGTTTATGCAACTGTTGGGTACTAGGAAATGGGAAAGGGTAGAATAAAATATTTTTGGGCTTTAAACAGTGTAATCTTTTGGATCTGCATTGCAAGAGAAGAGACTCTTGTTTTTGTCTCCTCTTGTCTCGAGTAATGCTGTTCTGTGTTCCGAATTTCTTTGTTTATTATCCTTTAAATGGGAAAGTCTGAAAAATTGTCTCTTACGGAGATGTTAATTACAATTGACACTATCTTACTGTCATAAACCATAAGCTATTTTCCTACTGATTAAGGTATTATGTGTTTTTCAACCTGCAGGAAACGTTGCTTTCCTTTGTTCATTATCTCCTGCAAGATGATGAGTTCTAATCAGGAGGAGGTCACTTTGGGCGCTTTTCTCCAGTATATTGAAGATATGGGGATGAAGGCCTATGATGGCTTGGTCATACAGAATGCATCAGACATTGCTCGAGAGAATGATCGCATGAGGAATGAAACAAACCTGGCTTACTTGAAAGAAAAGAGTGAAAAACGCCGAAAGCAAGAAGAAGCAATAAAACGGTAAATATTTTGATAAAAAGATGAGTGGTCTGGCAGAGTAATGGAAAGCAAGGGATTCAGATATGGTGAATGTGTGTAGAGCAGTTGATTGCTAAGCTGGCAAAAGCCACACAGACCGTTGGCCTCTGTCAGGCCTCTAGCACGTGTGGTTTATATTGTGTAGACATAGTTTGAGCATGTGTGGCATCTTGAACAGGTGTGATTTGTAACAAAAATTTTGGGTGTTTGGAATAGATATAAATCTAGTGACAAATGGGTTGTTATCCTCTTAGGGCTTTCAGATGAACAGTTTATACTTTGTGCAAAAATGTATTTGTGTGTGAGCACGATGGGGACAGTCTCACAGGTCAAAATAGACTCTTCTTGAGTTGACGTTTTAAATCTGCTAAATTTTCAAAGCTTTCTAACTGGTGTCTGAGGTTTTTTTAAAAGAAGCATCTATTATTTACATTTTCCTTTCAATTCTCTGATCTCTGAAGTCAGTAACAATATTGCAATCACTTACAGGAAAATGGATCAAGCCCCTGATGGGCAGAACCCTATAACAGCTCTTTTTGAACAATTCCATTGATTTTAATTGACAGTTAATGAGAGGAGCACTTGCATGACCTGGTGGCTTGTGCCAATGGATATCAATGAAATCTCTGCAGCCTCTTGGAGAGGAAAAGAAGGTTGAAAGGAATAGATATAAATATGTATTGCATACATATTTGCCAGTACAAAAAAATTTCTTTTCTGAGGTGATGGTAAAATTCTGTAATAGAGGTAAATCCTCCACCCAAATCTTTACCTTTTATATGTGAATGGATGGCTTGAGCATAAACTGATAGGAGGTCCTTTGAATTTTTTCCCCCAGCATGATTCTTCTGTATTTCTGTTTAAGTGATTAAATTTTATGCTATGTCTTGGGTACTGTACACCCAGGTATAACAGACATGCTGTGCTGTGAACGCTCGAGCAACGCCTCGGTAATCTGATAATTTTGATGGAACATTAAAAGGAAAAGAGCAGCACACACAGTTTGAGAGAGGAGAGAGATGAAGGAATTTAAAGCAAAAATATGGCTGCTTTATGTTCCAGGAAGTGGAACTATTTGGATTGTCAGCAATTTCATTGGAGCGATAAGAATAATGTGAAATTAAGGTGAATACAGCCAATTAGGTGGTACTCTGGCTAATCTGCTTGCACATACTTTTATATGTGTGACCATAAAGGTTACTAAGTACCAGAACAGATTTTGTTATGAATAGTTTTCTTGGACATGAGAGAGTAACTTGTGTGCCTACCCGGTTCTTTATAGTCCTCTGGCCAAGCTTCTCGACCTCATTTGAATAGTAGTGACAGTATTTCCTACAATGTATTTGGTTTGTGTGGTTTTGTTCATTGATCCTGGCAAAGCTATTTGATGAAGAGCTCTGGAGAAGTATAGATGATTAGGGCTGAGCCAAACCATGAAATTCTTGCCCACACTCAACTGAGATCAATGAGAACAGAATATTTTTCCTCAGTCACAGAGCCAGAAGACAGGAAGTAGAGGGCCAGCAACACAGTGGGCTTATTAGAGGAACAGCATGTATTTGCATGTGGTTTGGAGATACCAACATTTCCTCAATACAGTGCTCTTCTGTAGGAAACTGTTTGCAGTGATCCCCTCTGATCCCTCCCTGTAGGCACACAGTTGATGCTTGCAGCCTTCTGCAGGGATGTGATGTTCCTCTGTATGGGCAGATGCCTGAAGCCTTCTGATGTGGTAAGGTGTTACTGTGTACGGGCAAATGCTTAAAGCTTTGTGAAATTGTATGTTGATATTCTGTGTGTCATGGCCATCTCGACTGGGGCATATGCTGTGGCACCTCCCCACTTGGCTTATCTCAATAACACTGAGGGGAGAACAATATCTGCCTGAGGAAACAATGTAGGAAAACATCTCAGAAAATGATGAAAAGCACTTTCTTTAAGTCTTTTTTGCTTTCTCCCATGTAAACTTGGAGGGGTAAAAAAAGATACTTGAGAACAACTTTTGATGGGAAAAACTAAAAGCAGTAGCAGACCAAGGGAAAATACCTGATTTGACTAAAGGAACCGTGATGTCTGAAGTCACTTAGGCTGATTGCAATTGAGTTGGCTCCCTTTAGTAACCTCTAGAGATTTATCCAAGACTGTGCTGTCTATTGAAATGCAACAGTCAGGAAAGGTAAAGTAGGAACATTGATTTCTTCTTTGCTCTGTACTCTATTCTTTATGCCTTTATCTTGTCTTGGTGGGTATTTTTATTATCTCTAATTCCTGAGAGCGTGGCCTAGATAGCAAGGGGTGCACATGTGCAGTGGTAACTGCTACCAGTCTGGAGACTTCCAATAGCTGAAAACAATCTCCTTAGCAACAAGAGAGTCATCCCCTGTGATTAACTGCAGGTAGATTTTTGGGAAGGAGAGACGGTTCCCACAAATACTCTTCTTTTGCATGTGAGAATCAAAATAAAGCAGCCAGAAGCCTTTGGCACCTACTGAGAATTACCTGCTAGTCCAAATATTAAATTATTTAGAAGGTATTCAGTTTTAGTGTTCAGATGGCCTCTATTAGAAGAAGGCTGTTTGTGTATATTAACAAGATAATAATGAGTAATATATTGTCTAATAAAGTGGTGGTATCACACACAACACTATTTAGAAGCAGCTGTTATTTACCTAAATCATCTCATAACTATGCTGAATGACTAAAGTTCATTGAAATGCATTAGTCTGAGCAGTCTGGAAACAAGATCTGAGAAATGACCTAAAAAAAATGTTTGATTGTACATTTTGCTTTCCAAAGGCTACATTGGGCTGTTTCTTCAGTAGCACTGATGTACCTTCCGTGTGATTGCTGTCTCATGGTGTCTGCCTCTGATAAGTTAATTGTGGGGAAAAATGTATGGATCCATTGTACATTGCGGGAGATAAACACAGCGTATTGGATTGGGAAAAATAAAAGCAACTAGTCTTTGTCTAATCTTGCTGGGCTGAGTCAGCTGATCTGATCTGAATTTCTGACCTAATTTTAGTATGGTTCTCAGCGCTCATGCGGAGAAAATAAGGTTAATGTGCTGATTAGTAGCTGAGAGTAGGGCACAATAAATACGTATGTATATAGGACATAATGTATAGATGATTTTTCTTCCATCTTTTATTCATCTGGTCTAATTACATGATCGTTGTCTATTCAGGGAGCTGTGTCCAGATTAAGAGAAGGTGCTGGCATAATGCCCACAGAGCCTGTAAATTGCAAATAAAGTTATGGAGCAGTATCATTTTCACTGGCAATACCATGGGATGTACATTTGCCATGATACAACAGCAGCTGTAGGCAGCATTTCTGGGAACAGAAGGTAGATTTGCCTCACTATTGTGGGTGCCAGGAAAAAGGTGAGTATTTGGAGTTTATATAGGGCATCTGCTGGAATTAGCAATTGCTTTCTGACTCATCCATAACTGATGTGCACATATTTAGATACTTTATTATTGTTTTGTGTGGATACTTCACCAATGTTTTCCCTTTTTAATTGCACAAATATGAAAACTTAGTAAGAAACAAATAATGAATCCTCCTCCTTTGATGGCTCAGACATGTTGCATAAATCAGAGTGCATGCTTTCAAAGGTCTGGCTTCTTTTTTTTGTGCATCATTCAAGTTATTGTCAGAGAAGTAATTTTCACTTGTAACACTGTGAAGATGTGATTACTCCACTGTAAAGCTGGTGGTGTCAGTGGGCATGAATTTCTGCCCGCCAAATCCTGGACTTAGTCATGGAAATATTTACTTCTAGTGGTTTCCCTTACTTGTAGCTCCTTCCCAGGACCTAAATGGCTCTATGGAAAGCCTTGCTTGTGCTTGTATCCAGACAGATGCTGTCAAGAGGAGGAGCTTTTAGGAGCACTGTTGTGTGCTAAAGCTAGCAGAAATGGGCCAGCCAACCAGTGGCAGAGTTAAGCTCTTGTAGTAAAAAGGAATTGTAATGAACAGCTGTCAACATAACCTCTCCTTTCTTTGGCAAACCAAGTACTGAAGACTAACCCATCAGCAAAAGTAAGATCATATTTTTCTCTTGCCTTTTTTTTTCTTTTTTTGAAGTGGTTGTGGAAGTAATTTAATTCAGGTATTATCTTTCTGTAGTCTTCTGTCATTCCTATCCTTAGTTTCCCTCATGATCAAGACGTAAATTATGTGTCCTTTAGCTAAAAGTTGTGTTATCAAGTGTGGGTGTCAGCAAGAAAATATAAAAAGATTTCTATGCATGGGATTATTCACTGCCAAAACCCTGTTCAGCTGAGAAAATGTGTGTAATCTTAGACTACATGGACATGCTGAAGAGTTTTTACCGAAATGTTTTTACCAGAATAAAAAATAACCTAAAATAATTTCATTATGAACTTAATGTCTAAAATTTTGTCTTGAAATCAGAACAATACTTTAGGTGAAGGTATTTTCTTCTTTTCTGAATGTCTGTCTGTAGTTGAAATTCTGCGTAGTAAACTGCGTCTTCTAAATTTGCAGGAATAATTATGCTTGCTAGATTACAGTATGTTTATAGCCTGACCTCAAAAAAACGGTGAAGGAAGTGAGTTAAATATTATGGGTCATGGTGAGAGCCTCAGCTGAAATACCTGTAAACACTTTATTGAAATATTATACATTACAAGCTTGTTAGCCCATTGTTTTTGGCTCGGTGTGTTGATGTAAGTTGTGGGGTTTTTTTGTTTGGATTTTTGTTTTGGGTTTTTTGTTTGTTTTAGTTTGGTTTGTTTGTTTTGGGCTTTTCTATTTGTTTTTGTTTTTAATTTAAATCTGAGTTCACTTGGTGAATGTCATTTTTGGATATGAGGTCAGTGGTACGAGCTCCTTTGATCAAAATGTTTGTGCTATGAGGAAGCTTAACTGGGGCACTGTTGTTTTCTTTATCTTCCTTCTGGACATGTTGCATGCTCATTTCATCCTAGATTAAGTTATTGCTCTGATATTAC